TTTCGCCATGTTGGCCAGGCTGATCTTGAACTCCTGAACTCCTGACCTCAGGTAATCTGCCCACCTTGGCCTCCCAAAGTGCTGGGATTACAGGCGTGAGCCACCGTGCCCAGCCTCAGAGCTCTTCTTTGAAGCAGGGTTGTCATTTGTTAACTTTTTTTAAAGGTGATTTCTTTTATCTCCCTTCTTTTCTGTTAGCATCGTTCCACCCACCACTCCTCCAACATCTGTCTATTTGCCCTTGCTGCCTGGGCCTTAGTAGTAGTTTTTAAATTCCTTGCAGACAGTTCTCTCCTTGAATTAATATTCATTGATGGAGCTCCTGCTCTGGTGCCGTAGGAGAGAGGGTGGGAAGAGTAAAGCTGCCCAATCCAGCTGGGAGTGTGAGCAGGAGACTCAGTAATGACAGGGTGGTCAGGGCCAGGACAGGGCCCTGTTCTTCCCTGCTGTGAGCCAGCTGGATGAATCTAAGACAATGCAGGTGGCAATTCTGGATTGGTTGTTGGAAACAGATGTTTGGTGCTGCAAAGAAAAAGTTAGCACCGAGACAAAGGATCTCTTAGCAAGGCAATTTTACTTTCTGCAGAAAGGGTCCTTGTTATCTATCTTGCTTCGAAAGTCAACTAACAAAGGAAAAGCGGACCTATTTATCTTATGTATTTGGGGTTGTCTCTGATTTTCTTCACCATCTAAACGAAAACTCGATTGGCTAACTACTTAAAACTTTTCTAAACAGGTAAAAGCAATGGAGAACAAAAACAAAGTCCAAATGAGGAAGGGCAGGGACTGTGAGCTGGGACGTGCCTGTGAGCACGTCCACACAGATATCTTGGCTAAAGTACAAGGACACAGAATGTACCACGTGCCCGTGAGCATGTCTCACAGCTGCATAGGATACGGCTTAACAAAGAGCCACTAGCAAAGAGCAAGAAGGCTTTGAAGAAAGTCTTTAAAACAAACTGTTATTTCTAACACTTACGATTATTCTTTAACAAGAAAGGACACTTTGAAGAGGAGCTTTGCCACTTCCTACGATGGTTCTCCAACTTTCTGGTCCCAGAACCTCTTTATAGTCTTTAAAATTTTTGATAATTTCAAATACCTTTTATTTATGTGGATTTTATCTATTAATATATCCTGTATTAGATGTTAAAATTAAAAAGTTTTTTTTTTTTTTTTTTTGAGATGGAGTTTCACTCTTGTCGCCCAGGCTGGAGTGCAATGGCACGATCTCGGCTCACTGCAACCTCCGCCTCTTGTGTTCAAGCAATTCTCCTGCCTTAGCCTCCCAAGTAGCTGGGATTACAGGCGCCCACCACCATGCCCAGCTAATTTTTTGTATTTTTAGTAGAGATGGGATTTCCCATGTTGGCCAGGCTGGTCTCGAACTCCTGACCTCAGGCCGCCCCGGCCTCCCAAAGTGCTGGGATTACAGGTGTGAACTACCGCACCTGGCCAAAATTGAGACATTTTCTAAATACGAGCACATAATCCATTATTAGTTAGAATGATATCACACATGATGTGGCTTCAGTAAAATTCTACAGTGTATCCATGAGAGAATAAGAGTGAAACAGACAGTGAGCCAAGATCACGCCACTGCATTCCAGCCTGGAAGACACAGCAAGACTGTTGCAAAAATAAAAGTTTAATTTTTTGCGGGGGCAGGGACACAGTCTTGCTTTGTCGCCCAGGCTGGAGTGCAACCTCCGCCTCCCGGGTTCAAGTGATTCTCCTGCCTCAGCCTCCTGAGTAGCTGGGATTACAGACACCTATCACCACGCCCGGCTAATTTTTGTATTTTTAGTAGAGATGGGGTTTCGCCCTGTTGGGCAGGCTGGTCTCGAACTCCTGACCTCAGGTGATCTGCCCGAGGTGATCCACCTCCGCCTCCCAAAGTGCTGGAATGGCTGGTACGAGCCATCACGCCTGGCCTAAACATTTGTTATGTGCTCAGATAGATGGAGGCCTTCCTTGAAAAGGTGGGATGCCTCAAAGAAGTTAGACTGGGGGCTTATATTCCATTTCACCAACTGGTAATAAATTGGGAAGAAGTGAGAAGAAGAAGGAAAAGGGGTTTGGGCTTTTAGGGAGAGTGAATTGTGGGCAGGTAAACATACGGGGGAAACTCATGGGAGATAAGGGCAATTTTACAAGGCTGGTTTGTGCGGACCCATCTTGGTGACAGCTTTCTGTTTCTAATGAAAATGGTGATTCTCCTGGTACTAGGAGGGGGAAGGTCAACACCTTCACAAAGGGAAATTGAGGCAGATGATGTTGACGTGGGCAAGGAGCTCTTTCTTCATTTGCACTTCTTAATTGCCTTCAGCTAAAAATAGTCCTGCTAAAGTGGCCTATTTGGGGTGACATATTCTGACCCCCTTCAGTAAATAATAATACGAATAATGGACAATACCAGATTCGGAGTGAACAGTACCTAAGGTTCTCCCCTCTGGCATGTTCTGGCAGCCTTAGCGTTCAGTAGCCCCGAGCATGTCTGTGCCAGGTCAGGTAGTCAGGGAAACTGTCTGAGCAGAGTGATCCCAGTGCCCTGGCCAGGTGCAGGGTGTGGGGGCTGTGTGACGTGCTGGGCTTCCTGGGGGCAGCAGAGGAAACAGAAGAGCAAGCACCAGCGGAGAGCAGAGACCTCGCAGCTTGCTCCCCTACTGCCTTGCCCAGGAAGCAGGGCGGCACCCTGGAGATCAGAGAGCTGCAGGGCTGCTCTGCGGGCATGAGGGATTGCCCAGAGACAAAGGGCACCCGATGGCTGCAGCCTGGAGGCAGGTGGGAGGCCCCCAGGCTGGGGAGGCAGGAGTGAGGCAAGGGGCAGGTGAGACATGAGCAGAGGAGGTGGACCCAGCTCCTGAGATGCCGCAGAGGCAAGAGCTGACTCCAGTGAGGAGGAAGGTGTTTCTTCCTTAGCACAGCTAAGGGCACAGCTCCGGCTCCCACCGAGGGTCTCAACCTCGGCTCCTTGCACAGCCCCCTTCCAGGCAGCTCTTGGCTCTGTGTGGATCCACCTTCGCTCGGTCAGGGCTAGCGACTTTCTCTGACCCCATCCAGTCACCACAAACTGCTGCTTCTGGGAGGCCATGTGCTTCTCTTTAGAACTGACTCTATTGTTTTCTTTCATTCCTTTTTAGAGACAGAGACTCACTCATTGCCCAGGCTCGTCTTGACCTCCTGGGCTGGAGTGATCTTCCTGCCTTGGCCTCCCAAAGTGCCAGGATTACACGTGTGAGCTGATTTTAGTGGCACAAGTCTATCTGACTATATTGTCACTCCTGAGGGCAGCCATCTTGACTGTTTTAGCACTTTTTCATCCCTTCCAATGCCTAGCACTGTTTCTTTTACATCATGGGGGCTTAACTGATGGTCATGGAAGTAATCGACACCTCCGTATTTTTTTTTTTTTTTTGAGACAGAGTCTCACTCTGTCACCCAGGGCTGGAGTGCAGTGGCGCGATCTCGGCTCACCGCAACCTCCACCTCCCAGGTTCAAGCGATTCTCCTGCCTCAGCCTCCTGAGTAG